ATGCAATGTAGGTGCAGAACATTGATTGGCTGCCCCCTGCATGCTCCCTACCAGAAATCAAGCCTGCAACCCAGACATGTGCCCTAACCTGGAATCAAACCAGTAACCTTTCGGTGCATGGGATGACACCCAACCAAGTGAGCCATACTGGCCAGGGCGGGTATTTTTTTTTTTTTTAATCTAACTCCTCCACTCCCCCCAACCCTGCCTTTGGGAGCGTTAGCTCTGAGAATAAAGTAACTTGCAAGGTAGTGAAGAAACTTGCTTCCACACTGACTCTCACTGGGAAATCAGGGAACACTCATAAACTACTGCAATAACATGGATGGTATTATACTAAGTGGGATAAGTCAGACAGAGAAAGACAAATACTATATGATCTTACTTATATGTGGAATCTAAAAAACAAACTCATAGACATAGGGAACAGTTTGGTGGTTGACAGAGATGGTGGATGGGTTGGGCAAAATGGGAGAAGATGGTCAAAAGGTGCAAACTTCTAGTCATAAAATAAATAAGTACTGGAGATATAATGTACAGCATGGTGACTATAGTCAATAACATTGCATTGTGTATTTGAAAATTGCTGGGAGAGTAGGCCTTAAAAGTTCTCATCACAAGAAAATAACACTTGTTACTGCGTGTGGGGATGGATGTTAGCCCACTCCTTAGCCTACTCCTTGCTTCCCTTTACCTGCTCCATTTCCTCTTCTTTCCATAGCTCTGCAAGGTAGGTGTGGGCTTATTTGTTTGCTAATATTTTCTGTCTTTAGTCAGCTGGAGTATAACTGTGAGGCAGGGATTTTTCTTTCCCCCTTTTGTTCCCTGATGGTCACAAATGAGGCATTCAGTAAAGTATCTGCTGAGTGAATGAATGAAGGGTGCACCTTGATTTTGTATCTGTCTTACAGTGTTAAAGAGGCCCGTCACTTCTGAGGAACTCCTGACTCCTGGAGCACCGTATGCCAGGAAGACATTCACAGTAAGCTCATTATTTGGTTTTTCTCCTGTGCTGCTCGTTTTTCTGGGCCTTGTCAACATGTCAGTGTGCCAGTGGGTATTTCACAGATGCAATGGAAGAACCTCTTAATTTTCCTTTTTATTTTTGGCATAATTATAACAGTTGGGCCTTCTTGATCCTTAGGCACTAAAATGACATTTATTATTAATACAGCATTGTAAACTCCTTTGATATGTCCTTTAAAAAAAAGCTTTCTATTGTGTAATATAATTACAGACTTTAGGGAAAACGGTAGTACAATAGTCAATAATTCCTTCTGGGTTACAGTTAGTTCTACTTAAATTGTTTAAGACATTAGGGAGTCTTTTAGACAGAGAAAGAAAACTGTGGGATAAATTGTTCTACAATAAGGAGTGGTGCTTTTGACCATGTTAATATGTCTTGAGTTATACACACACCTGATTGGGGAGCACTGGGTACCTGTGAGCATCTCCAGACCACATGCCTCTTCTTGGAGGACCCTCAGCCTTCTACCCACTCTGCTTGACAGCACCTCACCCCCTCTCCGTCCCCTGGCCTCTTCCTTCAGTCTCTTCACATCTCCATCAATTGCCTCTTTTAAACACTTCTCCTTTTCTAACTTTTATTTTATGGACTCGGGGGGAGAAACTCTTTGCACACTCATTTACACTGCAAACATCTATCAAGGACTACTTCCCATTCTGGACACTGAGGAGCTAAAATAGGATGGTCCCAGTCATAGCCAGTCAATATGAAAAGACACTGCTAATACCTCTGCCTCAGGGGAAAAGTTAAACTGCATTTGGGGATGAAACTAGGTATTCTGAACTAATAACAGAAAACCCTAAAATCAATCATGTGCCTAAAAGTCTTTTTGAGAATATGCACAGAAATTTCATTGGTTTCTCTGCCTTTCCTCTGTGTCTAGCATTCAAGAGACAATTAATTGCATTTTTTAAAATATATCTATATATTTTATTGGTTTCAGAGAGGACGGAAGAGGGAGAGAGAGTTAGAAACATCAATGAAGAGAGAGAATCATTGATCGGCTGTCTCCTGCATGCCCCACACTGGGGATAGAGCCAGCAACCTGGGCCATGTGCCCTGACTGGGAATCGAACTGTGACCTCCTGGTTCATAGGTCAATGCTCAATCACTGAGCCATGCCATCCAGGCTTGATTGTATTTTTAAAGTATTAAAGTATTTCTTTTTGGTTTTATTTTTTTGGGGGGGTCTTATTCCTGATTTTTTAAATTATTATTTTTTAAAATCTTTATTGTTGAAAGTATTACATATGGTGTC